CTGACTCTGAGATAGATCATACTTTCCTTTAAAATTTTTTTTGTTGTTTCTGAACTTAACAAATGTTAGCAAAAATGAACATTACCATATGTAATACAAAGGGCAGAAAAAAAGATTATGTGCAGAACTGTGGACCTCTATTACACATAGTCATATCACCTCCCTGAATCTCAGTTTCCTCATCTGTAAAATGGAGGAGATTGGACTAGGTGACCACTGAGGTCCCTTCCGTATCTAAATCTATGCTCCTATGAACCCTAGTTGGATTTATGGAAGGGAACAGCTGCTTTACCTTCTTTCATTTAATCAGGGAGAATGTAGAACTTGTATGTGTTGTTTTTTTTTCAGTTAGAGATCCTTTATTTATTTATTTATTTATTTAATCTTTTTTTTTTTAGGCAATTGGGGTTAAGTGACTTGCCCAAGGTCACACAGCTAGTAAGTGTCAAGTGTTTGGTCTGAGGCCAGATTTGAACTCAGGTCCTCCTGACTTCAGGGCCGGTGCTCTATCCACAGCGCCACCTAGCTGCCCCAAGATCCTTTATTTATTACAAAATTAACAGCTCTCCTTACTTAACACCTCTTGGAAAAATGGAACTGCTTAGATAGTATTTATTTCTTTTTTAAAAATACTTTTTTTTTGTTCCAAATTTTCTTCATCTCACTATCCCCTCCCTTGTCCACTGAGAAGACAAGAAAATCAAAACCTACCACAAAAAACAAAACCCATTACAAATAGACATGCAAAACAAATTTCTGCATTAGGTGTGTTAAAAAAAAAAGCAAGAAAAAAAGAGAGAAAGAGAAAAAAATGCTATATGTTTTCAGGGGAAGAGGAAGTAGCTTGATTCTCGTATTTATGTTTATAACTCTTGTGTTCTTTAGTGGTGTTTTCCTGCTTCTCTATCTCTCCCTTCTGAATCCTTTTCTTATTATACTTAAGTTTATCAAGATAGTAGTTTATATTACTTTGACTTCAGAAAGCATAGAGAAACTCTCCTTTGTATGGGTTGTTATATGGGTTATGTCTTTTCCCCCTTGGAAATTTCACAGAATCTCAGAGCTAGAAGGAACCTCAGAGGTTATAGAGTTCAACCTGTACCTGAATAGGAATCCTTTTTACAATGTCACCTACAAGACATCTAGTCTATGCTTGACATCTCCTGAGGAGTCACACTCACCACTTCTGGAGACAGCCACTTCTGCTTTGGGATGGTACCAGTTGTTTTGGAAGTTTTTCTTTAGATTAAATTTGAGTCTGCTCCTGTGCAACTTTCATGCATAGCATAGAGTCTAATTCTGCCCTAAGAGATCAAGCAAAACAAGCCTATTTCCTCTTCCATATGACAACTCTTCAAATACTTAAGGACAACCATAACATCCCTCTCTAAGTCATTTTTTCTTGAGGCAAAACATCTCTGGTTCCTTTAAAGATTCTTAACCTTTTTGTATGTGTTTTGGGTTCCTTGAACCAATGAAACCTATAGACCCATTCTCAGGATAACATTTTTTAATGTATTTAATATTTAATGTATTAAACAAAATACATGTAATTTTAAAGGAAATCAATTGTGTTGAAACATAATTATCAAACTGTTAAAAATATAAGTTCACAGAGCCCAGGTTAAGAACCCCTGCAAATAGATCTTGGTATAGTGTTATCTCCATCCCTGCACCATCCTGGTCCCACTCCTTTGGAAATGCTCCAGTTTGTCAATGTCTATCCCAAAATATATTGTCTAGAATTGAGCACAGTACTTCAGAGACTATGCCCTCTCTCATTCTGGATGCTGTGCCTTTCTTAATGAAGCCTAAAATTGCACTAATTTTTCTTTTTTGCTGCATGTCAATTCAATTCAGTGAGCATTTGCAAGGTGCCTACTATGTGCCACAAACTGTGGCACTGGGGATACAAAGAAAAAAATTACCTGGTCTCCAGGAGTTTATAGTCTATTCAGGGAAAACATGCTAACAGTTTAGTATAACACATATATGTATATATTTACACATATATGTATACACACCTATACATATACATGCATATATAACTATATAGAGAGAGAGTAAATGCAAAATAATTACTTTTGGAGAGGGAAGACAATTAAAAACTGGAAAGATTAGTAAAGATTCTCTTTAGGAGACAGTGTACTTTGAAGGGAGCTTTTATGAGGTGGTCATGAGGAAAGAGAACATTCCAATTATAGGGGATAGCCCATGCAAAGACAGAGAGGCAAGGCTTGGTGAAATATATTACTGATAAGTAAGCCAGTTTGCCTGGAATGTAGAGTGCAGAAGGGAAGTAATATGATATCAATTTATATTGATAGATGGCAGTAAGATTGTAAGGAGTTTTAAGTCCTGGACAGAAGAGTTTGTATGTTATCCTAGGAAACCACTGAAGCTTTTTGAGCAGGGGAATGACATGGTCAGACTTGTGCTTTAAGAATATTAATTTTTAAAAATCTATGAGTTGAGGATGGATTGGAGATGAAAGAGACTGGGGTCAGGAGCACCAATGAAAAGACCATTGCTGTAGTACAGATGAGAACTGATAAGAACCTGAAGCAGGGTGATGTCTGTCTAAGTAGAGAGGAGATAAATATGTAATATAAAAGTAGAATTAGCAGGAAGGAATGAAACAAGCACCCATTATGTTCCAGGCACAGTGCCAAGTGCTTTACAAATGTTATCTCATTTGATTTTTACACAACAGCAGGAGGTAAGTGCTATAGTTATCCCCATTTTATGTTTGAGGAAACTGAGGCAGACAACAGTTATCTGACTTGTCCAGAGTCACACAGCTAGTAAGTGTCTTAGGGTAGATTTGAACTCAGGTGTTTCTTTTTTCTTTTTTCTTTTTTTTAAATTTTTTCTTTTTTATTTTTAGGTAATTGAGGTTAAGTGACTTGCCCAGGGTCACATAGCTAGTAAGTGTCAAGTGTTTGGTCCGAGGCCAGATTTGAACTCAGGTCCTCCTGACTTCAGGGCTGGTGCTCTATCCACTGCTCCACCTAGCTGCCCCTGAACTCAGGTCTTTCTAACTCCAGACTCGGTGATCTATTCACTGCCCCACCTAGCTGCTTCTGGACTTGTTAAATATAAAAGGATGAAGAGATACAGTAGAGAGTAATGGGCGACTCCTAGGTTGTGAACCTGAGAAACTAGAATGGTGGTGTACTGAAGAGACATAGAGAAAGTAGGAGAAGGGGTAAATTTTACTGGGGAAGATAATGAGTTCTGTTTTAGCTATGTTGAGTTTGAGATGCCTTTGTGGCTTCCATCTGAAGTCTAGCAGGCAGCTGGAGATGCATAGTTGTAGCACAGGAGAGAGATGAAAGCTGGATGTATAGATTTGGGAGTCATCTGCATAGAGATGACATAGAAACAGATGTGATCACTGAGAGAGAGAGCATATAGAGAGAATAGGAGGGAGTGTAAAATGGATGATGATACAGTAAAGGAGACTGAGTTGTCATATTATTGACTTACAGTCCATTAAAACCCTCTTTTTTCAGATGAACTTTTACCTAGACCTATCTTCCTGATCTTGTGAAGTTGGTCTTCTGAACCCATGTAGTACTTTACATTTATCCCTATTGAATTTCACCTTCCTAGATTTTAGTAGACTTTGTTAAGCAAAATGTTAGCTACTCCTTCAAGCACATCTCCTATAGACATTGAGTTTGCTCAAACTTCCTAATTTTTCTGGAGGAACACAGCATGTTCCCATCTCTTTGGAATGAGCCAATGAATCTTCCACAGCTTCCATTACTAAAACATCTGCACTGATCCAGTCCTGTGTCTGTTGTTCCTTTTTGTGGCTCCATACGCTTATACTACTTGTACTACTAATCTAATCTGAGCATGAGAGACCTTTGGTCATTTAGTCCAATTTCTTCATGTTACAGATGGGGAAACTGAAACTCAGAAAAGTGGAATGACTTGCTTATAGTCACAGAACCAGTCACAAAGCTGAGACCAGCACCCAAATCTTTTGTTTGGATATGGTTGGGGGTGGGGAGAGAATAAATCAGATTAAAGAATAAAATATGACTCCAACATTGCAATTCAAGTCACAGGCACGTAAACGATTGCCTCTCCAGCTATACAAACTCTTTCTTTTCTATTTCCTAGTAGCACTAGCCTTTTCATAAAAACTGTCACTAATACTTAGGAAACTAGTATATTTCCTCCCCTCCTGATTAATTAATATGTTAATTATGAAACCAAGTAGGCAGCTCAAGTATGAAGGGGAAAATCAATCAACAAATATTTGGCAGGTACCTAGGAACTGCAAGACACTGTATGAGGTCCCATGGAGGATACAAAGAAGAATGACAATTTTGCCCTTAAGGAACCTATAGCTTAGTTGGAGAGAACAGACATACCCATAAAAAGATAACTAATTGATTATGAGTTAGTATGCAATAATTTAAAAATAAGGGATATTGACCACAGTTAGTAATATCAGGGGATTGTGAGCCATGAGCTGGGAGATGGTCAGGAAAGACTTCATTGATGAGTTGGGAATTAAACTCTTTGAAGAGTGAGCAGGATTCAAATAAAGGAAGACATCAAAGATAGAGAATTTAGCAATCAAGGCACAGAGTCAGGAATATTTGGAAGGCACAGCAAATGTTCTAGTAAAGCCAAAGTGCAGGGTTCATGATGGAGAATAGTAGGAGGTGAAATTTGAAAAGCTGGATTGGACTAGATTTCAGAGGGCCTTGAATGCCAGGATATTTGTAGAAATACATTTTCTAATAGTTCCCCTATTTGAAGAGTTCTATAATGACATGTACCTCCATGTGGCAAATAGCTTGTTTCATTAATCAGAAATCACAAAATATTAGAACTAGAACAGACCTTAACATTCTATGTGATGTTTGAGACTATGAAAATCTTTGCCCATTGTTACATTTTCTACTGTAGCATGTTGCCTCTTTGTGAGTACTGTTGTTCTGTGAATTTATGTGTGTTACAGACACAAGTGTTTGAACATGGGAGACTGGAACTTGTTGGTCAGCATTCTGGAGGAAGTCCACTTCCATTCAACCCTAGTGGGGAAGATCTGGCTGACCATCCTGTTCATATTCCGGATGCTGGTGCTTGGAGTGGCAGCAGAGGAGGTCTGGGATGATGAACAGTCAGCATTTACCTGTAACACCCAACAGCCTGGCTGCAGCAACATCTGCTATGATGGTGCTTTCCCCATTTCTTTGATCAGGTACTGGGTTTTACAGATCATCTTTGTATCTTCTCCCTCTCTGGTATACATGGGTCATGCACTTTATAGACTCAGGGCCTTTGAAAAGGAGAGGCAGAGGAAGAAAGTACAACTTCGAGCCCAGCTGGAGGAACCTGAGATTGACCAGGAGGAGTACCAAAAAATACAAGGGGAACTGAGGAGATTAGAGGAACAGAGGAAGGTACACAAGGCACCCCTGAAAGGATGCCTGCTACGTACTTATATACTGCATATCTTGACCAGATCTATATTGGAAGTAGGGTTCATGATAGGACAGTATATTCTCTATGGGTTCCAAATGCACCCCCTTTACAAATGCAGTCAGTTTCCTTGTCCCAATTCAGTGGACTGCTTTGTGTCCAGGCCCACAAAGAAAACCATTTTCATGTTGTTCATGCATAGCATAGCAGCTATCTCCTTGTTCCTTAACATTTTGGAAATATTTCACCTGGGAATCAGGAAAATCATGAAGGTATTATATGGAGGGTCTAGCAGGGAGACTGAAAGGGGACCTTGCCACTCAAATCGAAATTCAGTGACCCAACCCTGTATAACTCACTCTTTATTGCATGAGAGCATTCCTTTGTTCCAGCCTGTTCAACACATCTGGCCAGAGCAACAAGTAATTGGAATTGATAACACAGAACATAAGTCAGCTTGGCAACCCAATCAGCACAACCAGACTGAGGGAGCACCTCCACCTAGCAAAAAGAACTGGTCCAGGAGGGATCAGCATCACAGAGTGCTCCAGTTCAGCTGTTTGTCCCCAGGACCTTGACTGTTGCGTCCAACACTTTCAACCGTGCAAACATCAGCACCACGGACAGCACCCACAATCTTCCTTCAGCGGGGGGGCCATTCTTTCCAGACCGCAGCTGTGCAACCTTGCCAATTGTCCTTCGTGCACACTACATCCTGGGGAGCAGCCCCAGAGTCTTTGGAATCCAACCAGGTCCTCGATAGACCTGATGACTCACTGCAAGACCAGTAAGGACAGCGTGAGAGAGTGTTTTGACTCAGCAGAGGGAGAATCTCATCCAGGTAGCCGCAAAGCCAGCTTCCTATTCAGAGTTTCAGAAAGCTCTGGTTCTCAGCATAGCCCTGTCTGTGACGTCCAGCACTGGGGAGATGACAGTGCCTCCAGCTCTCCACCTCTGCCTCCAGGCACTGGGCGCAGAATGTCAATGGCAAGTAAAGATCAGCAGGCCACTGCTCATGTGAACTATAGCCTGCTTGTGTAGCTGTCACCACACCTGGGTGCTCTGATGGTACCCCAAATTCACACTTTCTCTATTGTCTTCCCCAGGGCTACCTTTTCACATCTTGTCTCTGATAAGGCATAATGTTGTGGTGAGGGATGGGGAGAAGAGGAGACAGATGGGAGGGAGAACTTGTGTCTTTTTGTGGAATCATTTATCTACCTGAATCACCTTAGTCTTATAGAAAAAGGAGTGTGTATATGAGCAAGAAGCCACACCATTTGAATATCTCTGCACCTTAAAACGATCTTCTACAAATATTTCACAATAAATATTTAGTAAGTTTTTAAAAATAAAAAGGAATGAGTTTCCTTTATTTTAAAGCAAAAGAGAGAAAGGAAAACCCTTTTTGCTTTTGACCTGGACATTAAACAAGAGGAGTATTAGACAAATTCTGCCCTCTGAAAAGATACAGTTAGATAAGGAAGCTCCATTACTGTGATGCTCCCAAGTCATGAATCATTGGATTATAAATTTAGAGTTAGGAGAGGCCTGACCTAGTGGCCATCTTGTCCAATTCCTTCACTTCCAGAGGCAGGAAGTATCTGGAAGTGTCACAGGATCTGGAATTGTTCTTTCCATCACTGTCATAGTATGAACTATGATTTTAAAATAAACATCATTTGATAGGAACTGAATTTCCCAGATTAAATTCATAAATGAAATATTATATTTAAAGTACTTTATAACTTAAAGTACTACAGAAATATAAGTTATTAACATTATTTTCCCTATCTTTTGTATCTTAATGAATTCATCTTTACACCAAGCTTAATGTCTCTTGCTGATTTATAATGATAGCTCATATTTATATAGTGCTTTGTGGTTACAACATGCTTTCATATATATATATATATTTGTACATATATATATGTATTCATTCCAATTTAATCATTTAATCATTCCAATAGTCCAGTGTAGTAGGTAGCTATTATTCCCATTTGACAGATGAGGAAAATGGAGGCTCAGAGATATTGTGATTATACCAAGCTCATAAAACTATTAAGTGGTAAGGTCAGATTTAAAGATTGCACTCAGTTTCCTCTGTCTTGGTAGAAAATTTTTCTAAGCTTAATCAGAAAGGGAGTCCTACATAGGTATCTTAACTAAGCTATGAGTTGAGCTTTTTTCTATGTCCGGAGTATCTTCAGTTACCTCTTTATCCCGGATTTCCCCAGGAGGAAGGCAGGCATGACAACTTTTGTTTCTGGTTTTCTGACTCCAAATCCATAGTTCTTTCTGCCATACCATAGATTTCAAGATCATATTGTCACTGAAACAGAGTCATCTCTACTGTTCTTTTTTTAAAACTTGGGGAGCTTCTAGTGATCTGGGCTTTCCTGAACCCTTCCCTTAACTAAGAATAACTCATTTCTTATCTGCTCTATTCAATTGCTCTGAATATTACATGTATAGCAAATGCCTTGGAATTAATGTCTCTCTGCATCACTGGATGATTTCTGCCACCTAGAGACCACTGATAGTAATCCCAGTTTAACACAGTATACTGTGAATGGCCATTTATTTCTGCTTATACTTGTGTATTTAGCAAGACAATTTTCATTGTTCCTTCTTTCCTTTCCTAGGAGAGTGGCTCATAGAGCATACTTCTTTCTTCCCTCCTTATTTTTTTAATTTTTCAAAATATTTTTATCACTTTTTGTTTTATATTACTTTAATTTCTGAATATAGCCCTCCTCCCCTACCCACTGAGCCATTCCTTGTTACAAAAAAAGTTCAGCGAAACTAACAAACATATACACCAAGTCTCATATTATATGCAATATTTCACATCCATAGTCTTTCATCTCTGCAACAAAGGAACATCTTCCCTTAGTTCTGGGGAGCTGACTTTCTCATAATTAGTACTACTCATGGGATGTTCAGGGAAGACTAGCAACTCTGGTGTGACAGCTTTTTGAGCCCTTTTCAGAGTTGCTCATCCACCTTTGGTGTCACCCAACTCACATCTGTGACTTCAAGAAGCTGTAGCATGGACATAGCTAAAATCATCTTGTCAGATGGACTAAACCAGTTTGAGGGTAACTGACAGGCCTCAAACCCCTCAGTGAGCTAGAGGGATGTCTACCTCAAGCATGTGAAGACACCCTCTGGTGGAATGGGTGGATAAGAACAATTTGTTCCAATGGCCATGGAGGTGGCTAAAGCAGGTCTTGTGGAGTGCTTAAAGCTTGGTCAGATATTAAAGATGCCAAGGTCATCCACTGCATCCTAGGCCATTTCCAGTCATCTTGACTCTCATCCTGTCACTGGACTTTGATGACTGTGGGAGAGAGAGTGAAACAGGCAAGTCATCACCCTGTGATGTCATTGGTCCTCTTTGAAAACAAGACATACAACAAGTACTCATGGAAGCAATAAGACAGGGTTGATAATACAACATGCTTGAGGATCTGGATACATCTTACAGGTAGGCTTTTATTTAAGATGTGACCTCGGGAAAGCATATAATGTCTCTCACCTTCATTTCCTTTTGCTTTTATGGCAAATCCTTTCAACATTACGTAGCATTTTATTTTTTTTATTTGATTTTTAAGCATAGAGTTTCTGTTTTATTTTGCTTGAAAAGCCAGGAGGCATATTGGCAGTTTGGTTATACCTCTGGAATCATTAAACTTTGCATCCAGAGATACAAAGTGGTGATCCATCTGTAAATGGGTTAAGGCATTGTGGGAAGTAGTTAAACCACACCCCTTATACAGAAGAGAAAACTACCAAAGAAACCTACAGGTTTGTCATCCACAATTCAGTATAATAATAATATATCAAAATCACTTCTCAAAGAGGATGTTTGGACAAAAAGAACTTTAAAAAGAACCTTTAAATATTAGACATTTGTACATATACACACTACACTACTTACAAATAGTCTGGTTTAGCAGTTCATTTGATGCTTTTTAGTACTGATTCTTCTCCTCCCTGGATTCCTTCCCCAAATTCTCTTTTTCTTTCCCTGTTTCTTTCCCAAACTGGCAATGATCTGTCTCAAATTAGCTTTCAAGACATATTTTAAGAGAAGTCAGGGACATTGATTCTATCCTTTGGTTTGTTATTCAGCTGAAGAGGTCCATGAGTGATTTTTAAAAGGAGATTGATTTCTTTTTTAAATTCAATCTGTGTTAAAAGAGAATGGATCTGATGGAAGGAAAGTTTAGAGAAAATTATAGGACTATTGTCAGGACCATGAGCAGTTATTCAAAATAGTAGGAATCTCTAGGAGCACTACACTGAAACAAAGATGGCACCTCTTTTTTTTTTTTTGCTTCCACCTTTTTTTAATTTTCTTTTAAAAATTTTTAGCTGTTCATTTAATTTTTTTTTGTTTTTTCTCAATTACATATAAACAAAACATTTTTAACGTTCATCAAAATTTTTTTTGAATTCCATTTTCTTTCTCTCCCTCTCCCCTCCTTGTGAAGGTAAGCAATTTGATATAGATTATACATGTACAGTCATGCAAAACTTTTCCATATTACCATGTTGCAAAATAAAACACAGACAAAAAAACCCCAAGAATAATAAAATAAAAAAGTATGCTTCAATCTGCATTCAGATCCATCAGTTCTTTCTCTGAAGGTGGATAGCATTATTCATTATAAGTCTTTCAGAATTGTCTTGGATCATTGTATTGCTGAGACTAGCTAAGTCATTCACAGTTGACCATCATACAGTATTGTTGTTACTATATACAATGTTCTCCTGGTTCTGCTCACTTCACTTTGCATCAGTTCATATAAGTCTTCTCAGGTTTTTTAAAGCATCTTGCCCATTATTTCTTACAGCACAATAGTATTCCATCACAATCATATATACAACTTGTTCAGCCATTCCCCAAATGATGAGCATTCCCTCTATTTAAAGATGATACCTCTTAAAGAAACTGCAAAACCCTCACTCTGTAATATATACCAGAGAAGGCAACCAAGGAACTGATTTTTTCACTTTTCTACTTTTTTCCACTAAAATTCTATAGAGTTTAATGTAATCTAATTCTATATAATTTAGTTTAATATAATATAATATAAAATACATATAATATAGTATAATATAATATAATATAGTTTAATATAATTATATAATTCTATATCCTGTCTCGGCTAATTTATGCTAAATCTTTGGCATTGTAGAATTTCAACTTAAAAAAAAAACAGATACAATTTCTTCCTGGCGTTAATAGTTACTAACATGGATATTTGGTCCTATCTTCAATGGCATTTAGTAACTTAATAAAACCATATCAGAAAACAGTAGAGTTGATCATCATCATCATCATTAACAAACACTTACTAGTGTCTGCTCTGGGTGCTAGATGATGAATTAGTGTGCTGTTCATAGAAAGTTATAAAATTAGGATGTGAGTAAAATTCCTTCAAATCAAATTGTCATCTCGAAAGATAATTCAACAAAGTTTACAATTAGTGATTTCATGCGTTTACAAAACCTAGCACATATAAGTGCTTAATAATTTCTTATTGATTGATAACAATGACTGTTTTTTATTGATACATGTTGTTTTGACATAACAGATACTTTCCAACAAACACTCCAATATGCTCCTATCCCCATAAAGTATATTTCTTGAAAACAAACATGTAGAACATGTTATTTTCCATTTTTGTAATTTGTAGATTGACAGAAGTATTCTAAATTTTTATGTTCCACCATGAATTTTGGGACAAATTTCCTATATACTAACAAATACTGAGGTAGATCTTATCAGTAAGGCAGCATAATAAGGTGGATAGAGCATTGGACTTTAAATCAGGAAGACAGGTTCAAATCTTACTTCAGATATTTATTAGCTGTGTGATCCTGGGTAAACATTTAATCTCTGGGCCTCAGTCACCTTCTTTCTAAAATGAAGGCATTGGATTCAATGACCTCTAAGGTCCCTTTTAGTTCTAAATCTATGATCTTGTGATTTTATGATAGTCTCCTTCTCCAGATTATGAAAATTCCCTTCAGAAGTACAGAAACTCTCAAGTTTTGTTCATATAACATCAAACTAAGTTGAAAA